AAATCAGTTACAAATGTCCACACCTTATTTTGGTCTGGATTCTGTCACTATTGCAAGTGGTGGAACCTTACCTATACATCAGTCCGGGCAAGAAATCCTTCCTCTTCCTGATACAAATCGTAAGCTACATCTTAAAAATCTGCTTCATGTTCCATTGCTTTCTCATAATCTTCTTTCCATTCATCAGTTAACATCTGACAATAATTGCTCAATCTTGTTTGATGCTCATGGTATTCTTATCAAGGACCTCTCGGACAATATTGTTTTTCTTCGTGGTAAATCACAAGATGGACTCTATCCACTTCGCTCCACGTCCAACTGTTCTTGGTCAGCCTTTCATTCAACTGTTAGATCGACTGCTTCGTGGCATGCTCGTTTGGGGCATCCAAGTATTAGTACTTTAAGGACATTAGCTTATATAGTACCCGCAATATGTACTCCCCTACTACTTTTGTTTGCTCTTTTTGTAATGTGGCTAAAAGTCACAAACTGCCCTTCTCTTTATCTCAAAGCAATGTACTTCAACCTTTTCAATTAATACACTCAGATGTTTGGGGACCTGCACCTGTTCCTTCTTTAAATGGTTTCCGATACTACATTGTCTTTATAGATGATTATACTCGTTATACTTGGCTTTATTTGTTACATTCCAAAGATGAAGTTTACTTAAAATTTCAACATTTCTTTCATCTCATACACAATGCCTTTAAAACTTCAATTCAAACAATTCGAACTGATGGAGGAGATGAATATTCAAGTCACCAATTTAAGAATTTCTTGCTTCAACATGGAATTACTCATTAGTTCAGCTGTCCTTATACACCAGAACAAAATGGTCTTGCAGAACTCAAGCATCGTCATCTACTGGAAACTGCTCGTGCTCTACTTCATGCTTCCAAACTTCCTTATAAATTTTGGGCTGAAGCTTTCATGACGTCCAATTATCTAATTAATATTTTACCTACTAAAGCACGTAACCTTAACATACCTTATCAATTTCTTCATCATTCTCTACCCTCCTACTCGCATCTACGAACTTTTGGTTGTTTATGTTTTCCCTGGCTTCAACCAATGTCACAACACAAATTCTCTCCTCGCTCTCAAGAATGTATTTTTCTTGGTTACTCCTCCATACACAAAGGTTATCGTTGCTTCAATATTCTTACCAATAAAGTCCTTGTTTCTCGCCATGTTCTATTTTATGAGCATATATTTCCATATTCATCTTCTCTGCATACTCCACCCACTGTCCCCGTATCACCACCTCAAAATCCCTTGTTACTTACTCCAATTTCAATTTCCACTCCTCTACACTCCACCCAATCCTTGCCTATTTCTACTAACCAGCAACTATCACATATCAATTTTCCTTCTTCACCTCAATCTCCTCATGAGTCATCAACTTCCATGACTTCCTCATCTACTTTACCTACAGCTGTTCCTCCTTCCATAATTACATATACTCAACCTCCTGTTCACCATATGTTAACAAGGCAGAAGACTGGACATTCAAAATCGAAGGTTATATTTGATTTGCTCACGGTTCCCTGTTCACCTGTTATTCCAACCTCTTACAATCAAGCAATTAAATCTGAATGTTGGCTAAAAGCAATGTCAGATGAATTTCTAGCGCTTCAGCAAAAAGGGACTTGGAGTTTACAATCACCACCACTCAACAAACCATTTTTAGGTTGCAAATGGATCTTCAAACTAAAAACTACACCTGATGGAAAAATTGATCGGTATAAAGCAAGGATGGTAGCACAAGGTTTTGATCAAGAGCATGGTGTCAATTTCACTGAGACGTTCAGTCCGGTTGCCAAGTTACCTACCATTCGGCTATTATTGCTACTTGCACTTCATCATAACTGGCAAACTCTACAATTTGACATTTCAAATGCTTTTCTATATAGAGACCTTCATGAGGAAGTCTATATGAAGCAACCTCCTGGTTTTGCCGATACAACTCATCCACATTATGTCTGTCGTCTCCACAAAGCCATTTATGGGCTTAAACAAGCATCACGACAATGGTATAATAAACTCACTACCTTTCTAATTCAGTTCGGCTTTGTCTTCAGCAAAGCTGATCATTCGCTGCTCATTTACCGCAAGGATTCGATCACTCTACCTCCTCATTTATGTGGATGACTTGTTACTCACTTGTAATCACACTCCTACCATAGATCAACTGTTGCTGCAACTTAAGAATACTTTTTCTCTTAAGCAACTCGGTACAGTTGACACTTTTCTCGGTATTCAAGTCAAGCGGCTACCTGGTGCTATCATCCTGCATCAAACCAAATATGCCAATGATCTTCTTCATTCAGCTGGATTTTCCAACTGCACTTTGGTTCCTACACCTATTACTATGAAGCCAACCAAAACTGCTGTTGCTCAACAGCCATTTTCTGATCCAAAACTCTATCGCCATTTAGCTGGCTCGCTAAACTACCTTACCATCACACGTCCAGATATTGCATCCGCTGTGAATTCCATTTGTCAGCATATGCATGCACCTACGAATGCAGATTTTCTTGCTATTAAGAGGCTCTTACGGTATATACAGGGAACCAAATCCTTCGGCCTTCCGTTAACACCCGGCAAACTCCAACTCACAACATTTGTTGATGCCGATTGGGCTTCAGATACAGTCTATCGTAAATCAGTTACTGGATTCTGTACTTATCTAGGATCGACTCTTGTTTCTTGGTTTGTTAAAAAGCAATTTACCATGGCCAAATCTTTGACTGAGGCGGAATATAGAGCACTCTCTTCTGCAGTTTCTGATATCCTTTGGCTTCGTCGTTTACTGGATGATCTATCCTTATTTCAGTCTGAGCCTACAACAATTTTTTGTGACAATACTTCTGCTATTGCGTTAGCTCACAATCCTGTTTTCCACTCTCGCACGAAGCATATTAAGATTGACTATCATTTTATAAGTCAACATATACAGCTTAAAGCTGTCTCGATTTGTCACATTCATTCCACGGATCAAATAGCGGATATTCTTACTAAGCAATTATCCCCTCTTCACTTCTCGCTCTTAAGGGACAAACTCACCATTCGATCCTCCAATGCTGAGTTTGAGGGGGACCGTTAGAATATACCGACAAATATAAATAGCTTATCCGGTTCCTTGTACCTGAGAATAGTTGTGTGAGCATTATCTCTGTTATCTTGTTAGCCTGCCTCACTGTCTCTGGCGGCTAAGGCAGGATTTGCTCCCTAAGTTATACTTTATATATTGTAGCATTGGGGGAGCTGGGGGCATTAATGAACTATGAATCATTCAGAGCCATTTACGTTTTCTTCTCTGCTTGTCTTCTAACCTTTGATTGCAGGTTGTTTACTGAGGTCACGTACAACACAACCATAGAATATCAAATAGATAAGTAATGAAAAACCATAGAATAAGTAATGAACAAACATAGAATATCAAATAGAAATATTAATTCGAAATTATAGCAATCCAACATGTCCAAGAAATTGAGAACAAATAATAAGCTAAGAAATAATGGAACTATAGAAGAAATAAAAGCCAGTCTTTTAGATTATACAAGGCAATGCCATGCTTTCCAATTGGAGACGAGGACAAAAGATAAAACAATGGAGGCCATATGGGAGAAACTGTGTTGACAGCCATAAGAGTGAATCCTCTCTAATGGGGATGATGACAAAGATGGGGAGACAAAAGGTCAAAGTGCTGGTGAAGATGAGCTTTATTTGAACAGTAAAATCTTTGTTTGGGCAGACATTTGCATTTTCTAATCTTTGTTTGGACAGATATTGCAACCTAGAAACAATTATTTTAGAAAAGAACTGATAATCTAAATACAATAACCAACAAAATTGCAATCCATCATAAACTTCCTTCACAAACATTTAAAAAAAAAAACTTACGAAAACTTACATCTATTCATGCAAACACAGAGAGGTTTGTCGAGTCTAGTTCGCAAACGATCAGATGAATAATGGCGAATAGGAGAAGAGAATGTTGAAGAAGAATAATGGCGCTCGTTTAGTCTGGTTCGCAAACGACCGAATGTCGTGAACATGAAGTTTCGTGACTTTCGTCTGCTCACGCAAATACAGAGAGGTAGAGGGAATAGAATTATATTATTAGGTTTTTATTCTTCACTTCGCTCATATACTACTTGATCCAAATCCTACGGCTAAGGTTGTGTTTAAACAAAACCACAATTTTTTAAAACTTGCGCTGCTTCATCTGTTATTCGGTCGGACCATCAGGTCAACCGATTCAACAACTATTTTGGGAAGTGCTAGAACCAACCGGCCGACCAGTTCACAGTTCAACCGGTTGAACTGACCGGTCCGGTCCGATTTTAAAAACCTTGGTAAATTTAGTCATAATATAAAAAAAACTCTATCATACAGTCCTTATTGATCCTCTTAATCATATATGGCTTATCAAATATCTGAGTGGCTTCAAGATGCCAGAATCGAGTTATATTGCACTCATTAAAATCATCTCATTGAGCCACTTGATCTGATTATGAGCACGTCATAATAGGAGAATTTTTTTTTCAAATATGTCTCACGTGTTTGATTTGAGCTCATTTTGAGTGAAATAAGACCACTTGTAGTGTTGAAGGGTTCACCTAATTGTAAATACGTTGAGTTCGACTACACATTTGTTGAAATAGAAGTTCAGATAATCCCAAATTTATTAATTTTTGAAAGTTTTAAATGCAAATATGGCCTATCATTAATATGTATTATGAAAAATATAAAATCAAATTTCACAAAACATTAACTGAAAGAATTTTGGCCTCGAAATTTCGTCGAGATTCGTGTGTTTTCTATTTATCACCTTCAATCAATGGATTGAAACATCTATCACAATTGCCAAAGTAAATCGAACAGTAATCTGCTTGATCTACCAAAACTTGTGCACCAGTATCTACATAGGATTTCCATCCACCCCAACCTCCATCTTTTAATGATTTATTTAGAAAAAAAAATCATTAATTACAGTGAAATCCGAGCTTCTTCTCCTTGCTGCTCTCACTATCTCTCCGGAAACTCTCTTGAAGAATCGCCGATGGACATGGATACGGTGACCCTACATGGATTCGATCATGCGCCTGCGGCATTCATCGGTAAGTGAATCTCGTCTTTGAATCGCTATCGGACGATGGCCATTTTCTGCCGCAGGATCTCTAGTCAGCGGTAGCCGGAGCTTTGGGGGAAGGCCGATGGGTTCCGGATTCGATGATGCTTAACTTTGTTTGATTCTGGAATTCCGGTTAATTATGGAGTTCATGCTTCTGCAGGCGATCCCTTGACCTTAACGGAGAATGCTCACTCTTCCGCCTTGGTGACCTTCGAGGACTTAGTAGATAGTGGGGTGATGTCTCCGATGTCAACGGCTGAGATGGGTGAGATAATCCTTGGTCCGTCGATTGGAAATGGAGCTGAGTTGGAAACAGGTGGTGCGCCGGTGGGAGGGAGATCGGAGGCTACAGCTGCAACAAAGCTTCAGAAGGTTTACAGGAGTTATCGCACTCGGCGGAGGCTGGCGGATACCGCTGTCCTCGCAGAAGAACTCTGGTAGGTTGACCTGTTTCACATCGGTTCGGTCTTTCTTTCCTTTTTTTAAAACGTATTTTTCAAGGATGTTGTAAATATGTATCTTCCTTAATCCGGGTGCTCTGTAAAGGTGGCAAGCTCTTGATTTCGCTCGTCTGAATCATAGCACGATTTCTTTTTTTGACTATTCGAAACCAGAATCGGCGATCTCGCGCTGGAACCGCATAAGCATTATTGCTTCAAAGGTTAGATCTTTCATTTTGTTTAGTTTTCCCTCTACAATTTTAAGATTATTTGCATTGTACTTTAATTAATTTATGGGGGAGCATTATAGTACTAATAACCGAGATTGTTTTGTTTTCGGCAGGTTGGTCAGGGATTATCCAAGGATAGCAAGGCTCTAAAGCTGGCCTTTCAGCACTGGATTGAAGCTGTAGGTTCTATCGCTCCGATTCTTTTTATTATTATTATTATTATTTATTTTCTTTTACTTTTGGCTACTTGCGCTGAATTCTATAGATTGCTGCGGGATTGTTATTATTACTTTCAGTAGAATAATTATCCTTCAGATGCATAGGCTTCAGGTAGCATATATAATATGGCATCAAAGGCCTGTACGTGGCTATATCACGTTTTAATATAATTTGAACTTATTTTCTAAAAGATTAATTTAATTCCATTTTATTTGTTTTCTACTAGTGTCCTCTTATAGAAGAAGTTATGGATTTAAAGCTGGCCGTAGATACTGAGAATGAATTACGCTTAATTTGCACTATATTGAAATTATTTTCCTTCGATCCTCAAATACTACAGATTGAAGTTAACGGTGTTGAGGCTTTTTTTTGTTTACTTTTCTGTATAGATTGATCCAAGACATCGCTATGGGCACAATCTTCATTTTTACTATGAAAAATGGTGTGATAGTGATGCTGGCCAGCCCTTCTTTTACTGGTGAGTTCTTCCCCATTTAGTTTGATTCTAATTACATCATGATTATACTCTAGTTGTGTTATCTCCAACTGCCAATGTCTGCTTTCCTCATCATGGCCTTCCATTCACTTTGGATTGCCTGCTTCAATCTAACCAAAATCAAAGTGGCTTAGGCAAAAGAAGCTGATGGTGATGTAACTTGATTCCTATTTCTAATGTGATTATACATATGGACTGAATGATTGTGCGCTTTCAAGTTTGCAATATGTAGCATCAATTTCATTTGATAGAAGTCAATAATCATTTACTAAATTATAAATGTTTAAATAGTAATTTTCTAAATTGAACTCTTAGTATTTCAATTTTGTAGTGATGTGTTTTTGGCTTGCATGAAAGTAGAGGCACAACAACAACAACAACATCAAGCCTTAAGGCCGTTATCCCATTACGTGGAGTCCATTATGTCTTGTTAAGAGTCAAATTCTCATTTAAATTTGATAAAAAAAAAGTAATTTCTAATATTTTCTAGCCAACTCTTTTTAGGTCTATCTCTACCTTTCTTGAAATAGGTCAAATCCAATTCATCTACTCTCCTAACCCGATCGTTGAAAGGCTGATGTTTTATGTGTCCAAACCATCTAAGGTGACTCTCTCTAATCTTATCTGCCACTAGAGCTATTCCAACCTTTTCTCATACATGCTCATTTCTCTCACATAGAAAAAGCACAATTTTTCAGCTGCTAAAGCTGGCTTTGATGCGTCTCCCCTTTCAGTGGATGGTATCCTACGATCTATGCAACAAAGAGTATTGAACGTTGGCCTAGGGTGACTGGAACTTGCGTGGAATCTGGTATATCCATCCTGCTGTAGTTGGCAAGTTGGAATCCAATCCACATGTAGTTGTGAGCTCACCTTCTGGTTTGCCACTGGTTGATAGGATGACTACATGTTTAGGTGGTTGTCAATTTCTGCTTCTGTTAAAATCCACCTCCGTTAAAGCCGAACCTATTAATCCTAAGACATTAAATAAACTCAATTATTTAGTCTAATCAGTTACATGCTGAAGGTATTCCCCTCTCCTAGAAAAAAAAGACTTGCCGAGAATTAATAAACAAAATTGTCATCTAGTATGAGCTTTAGATTAGTTTATGCTTTGATTGATTGATGTTCAGTTGAAATTAGCTTTGCTAGCGTGTTAATGATAAATAGCTCTGCCGTTTTGAACCAGTAGATTGAGGAACATGAGGGGAAGAATAGAAATGTGTACATAACTGCTTTTGATTATTGTATATGAAATACAACATAAGAATTATATTCTCTGCCAAATTTACAGTTTCTAATTGGAATGTTTTTAAGATGCGTAGGTTGGATCTTGGTGATGGAAAAAATGTGGAACTGAAGGAATGCCCTAGGTCATTACTTCGACAACAATGCATAAAATATTTGGGCCCTGTGCGTTCTCCAACTCAACTCCTAACTATGAGCATTACCCATATAATTTTGTGCATTTTCAAGCTGATGTCAAGAACTGATATCCTTGTGTTTTCACTTAAACGTTTTAATTTTTTGAAAGGGTGTAGCCAATTAATCATTTTCCTTATGAATGCCAATGGTGAGGTTCTGGAATGTGGATAATGAATACAGCTTTATCTTTCTGCATTCTAGGAAAATATTTCATTTCTTCTTGTAGATTAATGTAATCTTACTAAGATTTTAATTGAAAAAAATATGTATGAAAAATTAATCTTAGCCTACTGCAAAAGTGTTAATTCAATTTTTATTTGGTACCAAGTGGGAAGAAGTGTTGGACGCCATTGTTTTGAAAAACAATTAACTATTTAGAGTGAATGTTGTTCTGGCGCTTGGTTCATTTAACATAGTATTGTTCCTATAAAGTGATATGACCTGTTTTCAAATTTTTCTCTAAATCTAGTTTCAAGTATGATGAAAACACAATGAGCTTGACGGCCACTTTTATGTCTCTCTCGTAACGAGCACTTTTATGTTTCTCTTGTAGCGAATACATTGGGACTTTGAGATATCAGAATTACTTATAACTTATAGGTTTTTTTTCTCAAATAAATTGAATTTCTAGATGTTTTCACATAACTTCTACTTAACATGTTCATACATCATATCTCAACTAACTTCCGGCTTATATATTTTAGACTTGTTTAGTTTATTGAAAAAGGAGTGTGAAGTATTTCAAATGCACGGAATTCAAAATTTTGGGGTTTGATTTGATGAAAAAGAAACTCAGAGTAAAATTTGTTGAATTTATTTTTTACTTCATAGTTCATTTTTTATGTAGTCTAAACTCGATCGTTTTCCAACGAATTCCTTTTACACCTCAAGCATCGCTAGCCACCACCCCATCATCATCACCAGTCATTGCCCCCACCTGTCATCGCCGGCTATTGTCACCACCTCTAGTCGCCACTGCCACCCGCTACCTTCGCTAGTCTCCTAGCCACAACCACCGCATCCACCTTTGTCGACCACTGCCCACTACCCGCCATTGCTACCCATCGACCACCAACCACCACTAATATTGGTATTTACACTACATTCATTTTATTGTAAGCCATATTGGAAAAAGTAATCATCTGCATTCTTTTTATACTCATTCAAATAATTTCAAACATTTCAAATGCATTGTATTCCTTTTACATTATATTATGTTTTACTTTGCATTCATTTTTTAAGCAAATCAAACAAACCCTTTAAAATAATTTGCGTGTCTTCTCCTTCTGTGTCATTTGAAACTAAGAATTTTTTTTCTTAATATTATGAGCATTCTCAATAGAATATTATAGTATTTTCATATTTCGTTTTATGATATTGTTAAATTCTAATTGAAATATCAAGAAGCTTCACTAGGAACACTTGGGAAGAAAAATTGTTACATCATACCCTAATTTTCTGTCAGACTTGCTATTTGTAAATTAGGGAGAAGAGGTGTTTGTGCCACTCTTCGTTTTTATTGTTGATACCTGGACAGAAAGAACAAAAGTTAAATCATGAGTAATCAATTTCTTAGAACTTCAGTCACTGGTTGAGGAAAAAAAATAGAACTTCAGTCACTGGTAATGAATAATTGATTTTTGGTGATTAAGTTCATACAGAGCAACAAGTAACAACACCGCCTTTTGGTTTCGTTCAGTTTTATCGAATCTCACTACCAATTTGATGTTTACACTGCATCTTACTGCATGTGGACTCACTTTTTTAGCAAGAGCGTGAACACTACGAATATGTGCTAGCTAATGGGAAAATTGTACACAAGCGAACGGCTCAACCTCTAGATACGAAGTGGCCCAAAGGAGCAAAATGGATATTTGTAATGTCTACTTCACGGAGATTATATGCTGGAGTGGTACTATTGGATGCAAATCATTTTTTTCAATAGTTTCTTCTTGTGCTAGGATATTTAATAGATGTAAAAAACAATGGAGTTTGGGCTAGCTAATTTTTTTTTCTCATTACATCCAGAAAAAGAGGGGAATGTTTCAACATTCCAGCTTTCTCGCTGGAGGGAGTACTGTAGTAGCTGGAAGATTCACTGCAGAGGATGGATTTCTTCGAGTAAGATGTACTGGCCTATATTTTAATATTTGTATGTCTGACGAAAGAGGGCAAGCCTAGAGTAACGGCTTAGTTACTTCCATGGTAACTTGAAGCCTGGAATCATGGAAAGTGCCTCTTAACAAATCCTGAGATAAGGCTTCATATATCGACTTCTCCCCCAACTTTGCACTGGCCTGGTGGATATGCCCTTTACTTTTTTTTATATATTTCTATTGATATCTCAATTTTCATAAGCTTTCCAATTATTGTTTTCTATTAGAAAGCTGGTCCTGCTGTTAATGCATGTCATCTACCGTAGTCTTGCCATTTGATCTGATAAGAAAAAAGCCAATTTTTAATGAACTGAACCCCCGCACCCTCTTCCTCCTCTTTCTGTGTCTTATAATATCTCAACTTTCATGAGCTTCCTCATACTTTTTCTATATTACAACGCTGGTCCTTCAGTTGATGCATATTTTATACTGTGTAGTCTTACCATTTGATCATACAAACCATACCTAATCTTTAATGAACTGATGTGACAGCATACTAGTGAGTGTGAACTACATCTCTACTATGTCATTGGATCAGAAAGCTTACTAAACACTTACTTCCCATTTCAACTTTATGATAAACCTACAATTCCGTTGTCTGTTATCAGTTCTATTCATACTTACTACTGCTACATCGGCATATTTTGTGAAATGCAAATGATCCTTGTCTTTGTTGTTTCTCTCTATGGAATTCCTGTGAGTAGAACAGGAATTTATTGTAATTGCGCATTGGATCATAGATTTCTTTTCTCATTTCTCAGGCTTTAGGAACATAGATGCCTGCAATTGGAAAATAAGCTAGTGATCTCTTTAAAGTACTTTCATTGCTTAGTAGTGTTGAGGTGGCATCTATGTTGCATGGATACTCTTATTTACGAGGCATGCTGTATCAGACACGTGTCGGATACGGATACGCTTCCGATACTGCACAGATACGTGTAGGGTACGGCTTTGCCGTGTCCGATTAAAATATTATTTAAATTTGACTAGACACGCGTATCAGATACGCGTGTCCTATTAAAAAAAAAATGGAGCCGCAATTTACCCTATTGTTTTCGGCTTTCCGGCGTTTCCGCTCAATATCCATATTCATTTATGCGGTTGAAACATTTCAAAGAGCTAGGTTTTTCGTTTCCACACAAGTGTTCGTCTTCTTCGTTATAGTTGAAGGAGCGGCTCGATGACGCGAGCATAGAAGCAAACAGGATCATCCTTTGTCTACAAATAGGCTTGACGACGCGAGCATTAAAGTCGATAGGATCATCCTTCGTCGACGGAGCGGCTCGACAACGCGAACAGTGAAGACGACGTGAGCAGTGAAGGTTCGTTTTCTTCGTTCTTCGTTTTCTTAATCATAGGCTCGATATCGAAACTCGGTACTTAGCACTCGGTACTCGGTACCGCTTGGTACTGAACGGTATTGGAACTCAGTATTGCTCGGTACTGGAACTCAGTACCGCTCAATATTGGAACTCGGTACCGCTCGGTATTGGAACTCGGTACCGCTCGGTATTGGAACTAGGTACCGCTCGGTACTGTAACTCGATATTACTCGGTACCGAGCGGTACTGGAACTCGATACTACTCGGTATTGGAACTCGGTACCGCTTGGTATTGGAACTCAGTATCGCTCGGTACTGTAACTCGGTACTACTCGCGCCACCGTGGCATGTAAAATAGGCACTCTATTCACTTAGAAACAAGAAAGTAAAATGTGTAATGCTTGGGATAATTGACTGTGCTACTATTCTAACAATTTTAGAGCTAAGGTGTTATTTAATTTGAGAAGTTAATAATATTTTATTTTGCTCATTCATTGTATTAGATTTTTTTCTACAATATAAATGATGATAATGCATACACTGATTAAAACTAATTTTTTAATAATAATTTCTTATTTAATTAAAATTTAGTTTATTTTTTCTTACAAAATAGAATATTAAAATAATAATCAAATACAAACTATAATTTTTGAAAATAGATTAATAATTAAATCCATATCTGGTGTGATACCAAGCAGCAAAGCCCTGCGAAACACAAGCTACCTAGGCAAGAACTCATAAATCAATAAAACAGTGAAATAAGTTCTCTCTATTATGCTCTTCTTGCTTCCATTTGCTATATATATCCTACTGCGGTTCTGCTAACTTAGTGTAAGTAATTCTATTTGTTTTAAAGTAAAACATTATATAGAAAGAACTACTAATTAAAATGGTAGTGACGTGGTAAAAAGGAACGAGTGGAGCAGAGCGTGAGAGGAATGTGCACACTGCAAGTGACGGAAGGTTGTCGTCCTCCTTATACTGTTACGGCACCGCATTAGGTCCCTCCTGCTCGAAGAGATTCATGGTCCACGTGAATGGTGGAGTCGTTTAGTGGATGATAGGCAGTGATGTCGAAGACATTGAAGGTAGCTGAAGTGTCTATATGAGGTGGAGGCTCCACGATGTAAATATTGTCGTTTATGCGTTGGAGGATTGGAATTGGCCCAAACTTGCGAGAACTGAGTTATGAATCGGTGCCAACCGGGAAACGTTCCTTTCTCTTGTGAACCATGACAAGGTCATCGGGATTGAAGATCAGTAGGCGGTAGTGAAGATCAGCCACTTCTTTGTAATTTGTGTTGGATGTAATTAACTTGTTTTGAACCTCCTGCAATACGTCAGTGTATTGATGTCGGAGCATTTAGGTAAAACAACAATGTCAAAGATATGGTTTGGGCTCTTTGTATAAACAATGTCAAAAGGACACTTTCCTGTGGAGTGGCTAGTCATCGAGTTGTAAGTAAACTTAGACTGTCCAAGGAACTCTTCACACTATTTTGGGTGACTTTGCACTAAACAGCACAACATACTTCCTAAGGTTCAATTAACAACATCAGTTTGGCTGTCCGATTGTGGGTGGTATGCAGGCTAAGGTTGATAGCCGTGTGTAGGCACCGCCAAAGCTCCCGCCAGAAATGGCTGATAAATTTGACGTCTCTTTCTGAAGTAATGCTGCGAGGTAAACCATGCAGACGGACCACTTCGTTGAAGAACAAACGAGCTACATTAATAGCGTCTAAGATTATCTTGCAAGCAATAAAATGAGCCATCTTAAAAAATTGATCTATGACAACATTATGGAATCATATCCTTTCTTTGTCCGAGGGAGTCCCAAAATGAAATTAATGCTAATATCTTCCTAAATGGAGTCAGGTACAGGTAATGGGGTGTATAACCCTGTATGTTGCTTATTGCCCTTATATTCTTGACGCAATGTAATTTCGGCCAAAAAAACCTTGCGTGTTGCTGACTTAGTGTTTTGACACGGCCTAAATGAGCGGCCAAGACACCGCTATGAGCTTCCTAGATTAGCTTTTGACGCCATGAAGAACAAGGAATGCAAAGTGTATTCCCTTTAAACAAATAACCATGTCGAATGGTATAATTTCCCTGCGGGTGGCCTGAAGAGCAGAGTTGCCAAAGGTGTGCAAAATCAGGGTTGGCGAAATACAAATACTTCAAACAATCAATCTTTGTGATTTCAGTTTGCAACTGAGTAAGAAGTGCGGTTCAACGACTAAGTGCATCGGCCACGTGATTTTGGCTCCCAGATTTATGTTTCACCATAAAGGTAAATTTTTGAAGAAACAAGACCCAAGGAGCATGCATTCGATTAAGATTTTTTGTGTATTGATGAACTATAAGGCACGATGATCACTGCACAAAACAAAATCGTTATGCAACAGATAATTTTCCCAATATTTGAGGGCTCGGACCACTGCATACAACTCCTATTCATATACAATCCACCTTTGCCTCGTCGGACTCGGTTTTTCACTAAAATACTCAAACGGTTCATCTGATTGTGATAAAGCAGCACCGATGACGATTGCAGAGGCATCTAAATCCACTTGGAATGGCAAATCAAAATTTGGCAGTGTTAGTACAGGAGTGAAAGTTAATGCTTGTTTAATAGATTCTCAGCTACGTTGTTTCTCTTCATCCCAAGAAAATTGTTTAGCCTTTAAATAGTTAGTGATAGGCGCCATAAGAATATTAAATCCATGAATAAAACAGCGGTAGAAATTTGTAAGTTCGTGGAAGCTCCAAACGTCTAATATCGAACGAGGCCGAGGCCAATTGACATAAACATTTTCAGCAGGGCTTAAGCCAGTGGTGCGGTTCACATAATTATTGTAGGCAAATTCAATTGTGGAGAGTTTGGGAATCCCAATTCTTAATGTGTTCACCTACTAGGGACCTTAACAAATTACCTAAACTCCTATTGACCACTTCAGTTTGGCCATCAGTTTGAGGATGAAAGGTTTTAGGAAATTGCAACTTAGTGCCGTGCCCATTTTCATCCAGAGAATTTTTCAGAACTAACTAGTGAACTTGACATCCCTGTCAGATACAATGGTCTTGGGTAACCCATGTAATCTGATGACCTCATTGAAGTATAGTTTGACAATATCGGAGGCGTTGGATATCTTGGAATAGGGTAGGAAATAGGTCATTTTGGAAAAGTGATCAACTGCAACACAGATGGTGTCATTCCTACGAAAAGTTTTCAGGAAGCCTAGGGCAAAGTCCATGCTAACATCTTGCCACGGACAACTGAGAAAACATCTTGCCACAGACAACTGAGAACAGGTAGAGGAGTGTAGAGACCAGTGTTTTGCTTATATTGCTTGGCCAGTTGGCAAGTGTGGCACCTACTGACCATTTTACCAACATCTTTCTTGAGCTTGACTAAAAGAAGTGGTACTCTACTGTATCAATGGTTTTATCTTGGCCGAAGTGTCCGGCAAGACCTCTAGCATGAAGTTCCCAAACAAGGAATTCCCTAAGTGAAGTGCTAGGGACGCAAAGCTTTTGAGCATTAAAAAGATATCCGTCCTCTAAGAGAAAATAATCCACAAGATATGTGTTACTTGTAGACAAAAGGGAGTAAATTTCTTTAAAGTTGGGGCACTCCAAA